GCCCCTGCCGTTGGCTTGCAAGTCACACTACTCCCTTCCCCATAGATAGGCCCCCGGGGCTCCCCATGAATGAACCCAAGCCCCAGGGCTTGATGGTGACAGCTGCAGACCAGGTATGAAGGAAAACTCTGGGATGCAGAGACTGTGATGGTCAGGCAGGCGGGACCAGGGATAGTGGGCACGCGCCCTGAGATCAGGAGACAGCCAAGCTTTTTCATACTGACTGTCACCCACACACTCCACCACCTGGCTTGTGGCCTCCAGCCCTCCTGGCTGCTGCTCCTCGCAGCCACTTTTGTTCCTAGGTACCTCATGGCAAGTGGAAGTGTGGGATGATGCAATCCGTAGGGCTCCGCATTCCCACTTGTCTTTCTGCTGCAGCCTGCCCTGGACGCGGACATGCTGGCCTGGCTGCAGCCTGAGCAGCAGGGGGAGAAGTGGGGAGCCTTCGCTCCCTGCATCACCCCCTCTACACACATACACTGCCTCCCACCCATCCCTTACACCCACCAGTGCACGGGAAAAGGGCTCAGCTGATGCTGTTGAGGGGTCCTATCTGGAATGCACTGAATAAAGCCCGTGCAAGGACCCCCGGAGCCTATGCAGCCTCGGTGGCAAATATCTCCTCCACTGGCTCATGGGACAAGTGGTGCCACCAATGATGGCACCCCAAGGACAGGGGCATGGCTGGTGCCCAGCAGAGTAATTTATGCCTTAACCTTGTTCTGAGGTAGAAATGAAAGGAGGAGACATCAAAGTCGTCTATAAGACCTTTATTGTCATAAATATTTTTAAGAAATTAAAAAATAATAGTGTTTAAAAACAACCAAGGTGCTGACATCCCATTCTGTGTGCAAAGTGTGTCCTGGTGAGCTACTCTTCTTTGAAGGAGAGGAGGTGGATGAGGGCCTCTCTGCTTCCTTCCCATTCTCTCTAAATGTTGGGAAGGGACTTGTCCACCATCTGCCCCCGACAACACACCCTCCAAGTGGCTGCCTGGCCTCGGTGTGACACCTTCCGTGCTGGAGCACCCCTCCTTCCCAAAGTCACCCATTCCATATTGTCCAGTGTGGATGGTTAGAACCCAAATGTTCCACCGCAGCTTCTGCCCTTCAGTTCCAGTGCTTCCCTCTCAAGCCTCCCAGACTTCCAGGCCAGCGTTTCAGTGTTGGCCCTCTTAAACCTCGATTTCAAGTGTCTTTACATACAGGCTACTCTTAAATCAAGGTGTCTCCATTCTGTTCCTGTGCCATTCACTTCCTAGAATCTCAATAAGTAGAATCTTACAAATTACTTGATCTTATTTCCATATGGACGAGGTGACACTCAAAACCAGGGAGGTTCAAAGAGAGCCCTAGGCTCCACAGCAAAATCGAGACTACACATAGGTCTGCTATCTCCCAGGCCAGACTCTGTCATTCCAGCCCAGCCTCAGAAGGGCTTAATAAGGAGCGAAAGGTGAAAATGGCAAAACTAAAATCTGAATATCAAAACCCATTTTTTCTTCCAATAGAATCAGAAGAAAACATTGTTGTCATATTCTATTTCAGTCATCACCCTTATGAATGGGGTAACTTGGCTAAATGAGAATTAATGAACCCACACTCAAAAGTGCATCATTTGATTTAGCACCAAGACTTCTGTAAATCCCATTAGATCTGAAAGAATGCTGTTATGGAAAACTTGCATTTTATAGGTTGGTGTTCACATTTCTTAAAACTGCCATGTGTGACCACACTGCAGGCTAAACAATGTATCTGCAGGTCTACTGCAGCCCAGAGACCATCCAATTGCAACCTCTGGACTCTCAGTCAGAGGCAGGCAACCCTTATCCCTAGGATGCCACAGTCCTCCCATGCCCTCCCCAGGCCACCAGCAAGACCAGCTAAATAGCCAAAAGGTGGAAAAATTGGGAGGCCTGTATCTTCAAGGCCTTTAGCCCTTGCATTGTGTCTCTCCTTTCTATCTTTATCAGTTCTCCCTTTCTGAGTCCATTTACTCTGAAGTATAAATGTGTGTCTGGTGGGGAAAACAGAGAAGACGCATTTCTTTCTTTTTTTTTTTTTTAAAGATGACCAGTAAGGGGATCTTAACCCTTGACTTGGTGTTGTCAGCACCACGCTCACCCAGTGAGCAACCGGCCATCCCTATATGGGATCCGAACCTGTGGTCTTGGTGTTATCAGCATCGCACTCTCCCGAGTGAGCCACAGACCGGCCCGAGAAGATGCATTTCATAGGGAGCAAAGCCTCTTGCTAAAGCAGTGTTCCTCAAGCCTGGCTACACATTACAATCACTTGGGAGCTTTGAGAGACACTGATCCAAGGGCCCCACCCCCTAGGGATTCAAATTAAATTGATTAGGAGAGGGATCAAGTTTGTTTCAAACTTCCCCAGATGATTCTAATGTGCTAAGAGTTGAGCTCAACAGGCAAGTGAGCATATTGGCCAGAAAATGAAGAAACAAGGGGTTAGCTTGCACAGGTGACTTTCTATGATGAATACTTGGAACTGTGCTGTCACTGTCAATGTTGTTCAAGTTAAACTGATTCTAGCCTGGAATCTGGAAGACCTTGTTACAGCAAATCTCCAAGCTAGGATTTGTTGCAGATTTCACCCATTTTCCACAGTCCCCAGAGCCCCCCACAAAAGGGCTCTGGGAGGACTTGGGCACATTTGCTGTTGTCTAGGAGGGGAGTCAAACAGCAGTCTCTGAAGACAATTTTAGCATTTAGAGGCAAGCAGCCCAAAATGCAACCTCACATCTAGCTGATGTTAATACCAATATAAAGATATTTTTTTTAATTGTAAGCAGCAGTGCAGAATAAAGGGTTGACAGAATAAAAGGTGGTTCACAGATAGATGCTATTAACAATGTTCTGTCTGAGAGTTAAGAATAATTATTTATGATGAAGCTAAAGACTAAGCAGTTAACAAGAATTATTGCCAACCTAAAAGTGGTCCAGTCTTTTAAAGGTATTATTGGTGCACCCTAGACACCACTCTAAACAAGCTGCTTTGATTTTCTATGGCCACCTAGAACTTTTAGAATTTGGTCCAAGGACTGTCGGGACTGCCAAGTCCTAGGCTCACTATCTAGTAGAGAATACAGGCCTCCATCGAGGAATTGTGAATGAGATGTGCAAGATGCCCTGGGTGGTCTCAGGGTTGAATCTGACATGGTGTGCCAGTAGAGCCCTGCCCTGGGATTGGGGCAGGTGCTCAGAGACATAGAGGCTGACGGGCAGACCTTGGGTAGACTCAAGAGAGGGCTTTCTGTACAGTGTTCTGTGGGGAAGTGGACATCGATTAGAGCATGCCTCCGTTCTGGCCACCTGAGAGCTAGAAAGAAATCCAGACAAGAGTGCTTCTTCTTCCAGGCATTAGATGGTGTGGGCATGCAAGCTCAGAGGGCAAATTATGCCTCATAAAGCAGATTATCCAGAGCTGAGCTTTGCAAAAGAGGACCACCTCAATCAGAACCACAGACTCCCATGTTCCCCGCCCCCAGACCCCACAGATTCAATTTCTATGAGGTAATTCTAAGAACATTAAACTTACAGAACTAACAGTCTAGAGCCATAACACTTTTATTCCCTAAATATCAATATCAGTTTCTTGAAAGTCAGGTCTGTCTCAGCTGCCCTTCAGCTGTGCTTGGGCCTATCTTAGTGGCAACAGTAATCAGCAAAAAACCCCAAGGGGTATCCTTCCAGTGCAAACAGTGGAGTTTCTAGGTTTTACTTTTGTTAAGGAAAGTGGTGTTTCTTAACAAGACAGGTATCCGGGTGGAAGGAGCAAAGTACTAACACAAATACAACAGAGATACGGAATATCTCTGCCCAGGGAAATGTGGAAGAGCTCCTGGGATATGGTATGGACCCTCTCCTTCCCTTGAGGTCTTTAAAAGACAAATTGCTACCTCCATCTGTATTCAAGAGCTTTTAGCATTAAAACGCTCCCAGAATAAGACACTAGACTTGAGTCAGTCCCCCTGGCTTCAAGCATGTAATAAAAACAGCTGGCTTAATCATGCTCCTTTCCTGGCATAACGCCTCACCCCAACAAGAGGTGGCCAGATCTCTCTACCACCCAAATGTGCCTTGTTAATATAGACATTAGTGGTGAATGGTCCTGTTTTCACTCAACAACATACTGGCTTGTGCTTTTACCTTCAGCTAATGTGGTATCAACACTTTATTCTGCACTGCTGCTTACAATGTAAAAAAAACCTATCTTTATATTAGTCTTAACATCAGCTAGGTTCTTCTCAAAGAGCAGTCAAGCTTAATTGACCACATTAAAATCTGCAGACTACTTTTTGTCACCGCCTATTAGTTTTGACATCATGCTAAAGTAGGACAGCATATTCCAAAACAGAAACTGAAACAGGAATGGAGGAGTTTTGCTGGTTTAGCATAAAGAGACAGTTAGAAGCCTTGCACCTGGGCTCTGAAGATTTTCAATAAGATGCAAGCTAAACTGTACCTAGCAAATTCACCAGGTTCAAAGTAGTGAGCAGAAAATTATTTTTTAAAGGAGGGGGAGCACTACTCCTTAAAGGACTCGTCCTTGTAAACAGTCTTGCATGTTCTTTGTTATCTCCCCGGCACTGCATTAAAAAACTATGTGCAGCAACCTGATGGTGTTTCTGAAATGTTTTCAAAAGACAGCCCAAGGCAAAGTCAAAAAATATACATTTTTATTTGGGAAATTAGAAGAGAAAGAGAAAATCGGATTTCAAACAGTTGCATTTAGATGGACAAGCTTATCAAGGGCAGAGACCAGCTTTCTAGTTTTTGTATGCACATCCCTAGTACAGTACCTGATACACAGTAGGTGTTCAATAAGTGCTAATTTCCAAGAGTCTGTTCCCATTGGTTGAGGCAAAAGCAAAACCCTAGTCCTCCTCTCTGATAGACTGAGCACATGAAATTTAAAAAGCACAGATCAATTAGAAAATATAATTTTGGGGCCGAGCCCATGGCGCACTCGGGAGAGTGCGGCGCTGGGAGCGCAGCAGCGCTCCTGCCGCGGGTTCGGATCCTATATAGGGATGGCCGGGGTGCTCACTGGCTGAGCACAGTGCAGCCGGTCTCAAAAAAAAAAAAAAAGAAAATATAATTTTGTCTAAACTCATCAACAAGCTAAGATTTTGTGAACCACCTGAAATATGCATCTTTCACACTGAAATTTTCTAGATGAACTATCTGAAGAAATATACTACTGCCAGTGTTTTCTTTAGTCTGGTCATCTGTTACTTTAATACACACAGCAGATATTACTTGAAACAAAGAAAAAATGCTTTAAAACCTGTCCAGATGATTTCTGCAGTCCTGGGTATTGCAGCCAGGCAGCGACCTGGCAGAGATCCTAAGGTGAACTTCTCTAGTACTGGAAGTATTACAGTGAAAGAACACAGCTCTCTGTGGGTCCAGAGACCCAGACCCCACACCCAGCTCTGACACTCGGTCCTTGTATGACCTTGGATGACCAAGTCACTTCTTTCTGGGTCTGTATCCTCAACTACAAAACGAGAGGGCTGCACTAATAGTCTTCTCATATCTCTATAAAAGACCTGGACTAGCTACCCAAAATCTGAATTTGAAAAAAAAATTGTGCAGAGGATGTTCTCCAATGTCACCAATTAATCCTGGCAATATTAAACATTGTTATTAGTTAAGAAAATGGAAATATGAGGTATGAATACTAGAAATGAGAAGGCAAAATTATCATTACTTCCAAATGATAACTAGTGTGTGTGGGACATCCAAAAGCAACTAAAACCTTATTTTTTTTAAAAAGGCAAATCCATTAAATTGCCCTTGTAAAAACATTAACATTTAGAAGTATACATAAAAATATAAACAAGCAAACAAACATACCTAATGATAATAAAAGGAAGATATTTGCAAGACCTTCATTAAAAACAAAAAAAATTTAAAGAAATCTCTGAACAGAAACATAAAAGACTTGGGCCGGCCTGGTGGCGCACTCGGTAGAGTGCGGTGCTTGGGAGCATGGCGGCGCTCCCGCTGAGGGTTCGGATCCCATATAGAGACTGGTCCGCTCACTGGTTGAGCGCGGTGCGGGCACGACACCAAGGGTTGCAATCCCGTTACCGGTCACGAAAAAAGACAAAAAGGGAAAAAAAAAAGAAACATAAAAGACTTGACTAAACATATTTTACTTTCTTTTGCATAAAAAGACTCAGAGTTATAGAGATGTCAAGTCTCCCTAATCTATTAATTAAGCCCTACACAAAATCATCTTTTAACATGATAAAATGACACCAAAGTTGATCTGGAAAAATAAACATACAATAATGAAAACAATCATTCCCTCCCCGCAAAACGAATGAGAAAATACTAGCCCAACTAATAATACTTAACATTTACCAGGTGCTTCACTATATGTGAGGCACTATATTAAGCATTTTAACTATCTCGTTTGTTCATCACAGTCCAAGTTAGAAATATTATCGTCCCAATTTACAGAAACTAAGGCTTGGATAGAAAAGCAACCTGCCCAAGGTCACACAGCTAATGGTAGAGCCACCATTTGAACCCGGACAACACTCCCCAGAGCTACACCACACTTCCAGATCAACAGAATAGAATAGGGAATCCAGAAAAAGATCCAATTACATTATGGGAATTTAGTGGGAAATAATTAAAAAGTCCTTGGCTAACTGGATCCTTACATCAAAATAAATTCCAGGTCGGTTAAAAAAATTAACCAAAGAGGAGGAGGAGGAAGGAGAGAAGAGAAGCCATAAAAGCTTTGCTTTTTCGAGTAGAGAACACATGGGTAGAAAAGATGTATGACCTTGGAATGGAGACAGCCTTACAAGCAGGATACAAAACTCAGAATCCATTTAAAAAAATTATGATTAAATTTGACTACATAAAAATGTAAACTTCTGACACAAAAACTACCATATTTAAAGTCAAAAAACAAACTACAAACATCACATGACAGAGAAAACTTCCTTAAACTTCCAAGGAATTTCTAACAAGTACTAAGAAAAAGAGCACAACCCAAAAGCAAAGGAAATCCAGACGGTGAGTAAACCTGTCAAAGTGTTCAGCCTCATTCAAAGTAAGGGAACACAAATCAAACCAGGAAACACATTTCTCATTAATCACCTTGGCAAAAACTAAATTAGTAGGTAATATCTGATGTCAATAAAGGTGTAGGGACAAAGCAATTTGATAACCTCTGTCAAGATTTTAAATACACAGTCACTAAACCAGAAGTCCCAGTGCTAGGAATGAATATGTTCTATGAATAGAACATAAGGATGTTCATTGCAGCATTATTTGGAATGTCAAAAATTCAAACGTAAAAGTCCATCAGTAAGATCTAGTTAAATAAATTTAATACCCATCCACAGAATTAAATGCTGTGAGGTTGTTTTTTTAAACTATACATAGGGAAATGAAAACATGCCTAAGATACAAGGGTACTTCAAAAAGCTCATGGAAAGATTCATATTACCTTTTAATTCTATTTCTCCATGAAATTTTTGAAGTACCCTCATACATTAAATGAAAGAAATAAGATGCAGAATAGTGTAGGAAAGGTAAAAATCTATTTGCATTTTAAAAAACAAAAAGGAAGACTAATACATACATGCACAGAAAAATTCTGGGAAACCACTCAAAAAATCTATTAGTAGTGATTGCCTCTGCAGAGTCCAAATGGGAAGTGGAGGGAGACAGGAAGGGAACTTTATTTTTTATTATTTGAATTTTTCTTTACTATCTTAATTTTTTCCATGGACACGTATAAATTCAACAACTTTTTTTTAATGAACTCAACAAAAAAATCATCTCAACTAAAGCACACCGAACAATAAAGACACAAACTTCAAAGTAGCTTTTTTTTCAAACATTTACTCAACACAAACACCATTTTTTCTTTTTACACAGCAGGATGGTTAGTTTCAAATTAGCTGAGCTATTAGGACTATCAATTGCCATGAAATTAAAAATGATTCTTCATGTCAAACTCAAATAGAAAATGTCATGCAATATATAAATCACTAATAGACCTCTGGTGTAGTCAGCAAGTTTACTATGTTTATTAAAGTCACATAAATGGTTTGACAAAAGTGCACAATAGAATGACATCACTGGTTTGTTATAAATCACAGTGAATTACTAGAACACAGCAATGTAGTTCCTCTTCATGGAGGATTGCAGGATAGGGTGAATATTTTAAAGGACAGGATCTTTTCAATAGGTTAGGCCAGTCAGATTTTACTCCCCAACTATGTACCTCTGAAAAGATTGGTTAGGAAAGCTGAGGGGTTTTTTTCCCCCTCATCTTTTCTCCTCTACCAATTACTAAGCAACAACAAAAAAAGCCATGCACAAATTTTACAACACCTGGTAAAAAATAGATACGAAACCTTGTTCACTTCATCACTTGGCAAATTTGCATCTGTGCTCCTTCATTTTTCTGAGTAGGCCATTCATCACGATGCACCCCTAAATGAAAAGCTGTTAATAATTGAGCAATATTCACCCCTGCACACACATCAGGATACACTCCCCATAACCATCAAGTCACTGTCCCTTCCCCACACACTAACACAAAGGTACACACCACAAACCTAGGGCTAGAGGTCACATTTACTCTACAGTTTTAAAAAATTAGTATATCACCACTACCAGTGTAGCATTTATTTCAGATCCATATTTGGGGGAAGGGATGCTGTATAACCCACCCCATCCAAAGATTTGGGCAAGCCTTCCAGAAATGTGTAAGAAAGCCCTGCAACGTGACATACATAATTAGGAGCTTTCTACTTTCAAGAGATGATACCTAGAACAAAGCTGTGCTTTTTCTGAGTAGGAACAAACACACAGCTTTAAAAGCTTCTGGACTAAAAACTTTTCTTAGAGCAAAAGGTAGACTTTTGTTTTCTTTAACCCCTTTTAATGTTATAGTATAGTCAGTGAGAAAAACAGAATAGTCATCTGTGCATTGACACATCCGGCTAGCCTGAAAAGGAACATATAAAATTTTTACAGAAAATCTACCATAAAAACAAGTCCTTTCTACATCTACTCATCAGTTCAACCACTGGCTGCTTCTAAACCAGCAAACTATAATCCAAGGTCCAGCAACACACTTCTTATCCCTTCCCATTTCAAAAAAAGAAATGCTCTGCTCCAATAATCCAAAGGGGTCTTATTCATAAATAGCTGCCTCAGCTGTTGTGGAAACTGTTAACAGGGTGTTGCTCCCTTGAAATTTTAATTTTCAAAAACACTTGTCAAATACAAAGTTGGTATTTAGGGAGCCGCTGCCCCAAATCATATTTTACTTCAAATAATGTTATCACACCTAAGTTCTCACAATTGCCAATTATTAATCAACTATTAGTATAATGAAATAAAACCTTTCTCAGAAACAAGCAAGACCAAAGCTTGTAGACGGTCTGCTTTTTGGTTTGTTTACAGTTCCCACAGCAGAGAACCTTTAAAGTAGTTGGGTTGTGGCCTACTGGAGCAATCCACGGTAGAGGAAAAAGCTACAGTTGTCATTGTCAGTTCACAGGTAAAAATGTTCCCGCTTCTTTATCAATTAAGGGGATGGGTTTGCTGCAAACTCCTTGAGTTAAAAATTTACCTAAACTCAAGAGTTTAATTTCACAATTTTATTAAAAGCGCAAAGCTTACTTAAGTTTCACATGACTTGCAAATGAAAGCATCCACCTGGGCCTCTAGTTCTCTAGATTTACATGACAATTTCTGAGCAGGACAGAGAAGTTCTAATTGAATCTGTAAGGCTATCACGGAAGTTACAATTCAAAGCATAATTCTACCAATAATAAACATCGAATGAGAAAAGTGGCTGCAAAGTATAAACAGCCTAGAGTTCTGAGAGCTAAAAATTGCCACCTTTCTTACCTTATTTTCCTTTAAAAAAAAAAAAAAAGTTAAGTTTAGGAAGGGTTTGGTTAAACATATTTTAAAATAAATCTATCAAAAAACAAATTTAAAAAACAGGCATGTAGATCACTTGTTTCAAGAATGGTTTTATACAGGTGTTTCACAATACACATTCTGATTGATTTTACAAGACAGAATTAGATCCTCAACAAGATAGTGCACAATGTACTACTATACTATAATAAACAACAAAAATCTAGTTACCATTAACACAGTTCATAATGTATTCCACTGTCTTCAAATTATTTCTCCAACTTTGTCGGCATTTCAATCAGCATAGTTTTACTTTCTCCAGCATTCAGTCTTCCCTCTCAAAAACACTGTCATTAAATTTTGATGTCAGAATATGTGCATACAATCATTATCTTCATTTTATAAATAAGCAGTGTCATAAACAGTGCTGGTCCTGGGTAGCCAGTGGGATAAAATATGTTTTTAAAACATGCAACATTGTCTGATATTTTAAGTTTTGGTGTTTAAAAATTACATATATTAATAATGGAACCAACCGAATACCAAGTATCCTAGCTATTCCTCAGACTGTCCAATAAACAGGCCTTGTAGTGTGAAAAATAAAGCGTCTGATGTGAGCTGTGGAAAAGGTGTGAATAAATCACCTTAAAGAAATGCATTTTCTCTTTCAGGCCACCGACAGTTGCCAAGAGCAAGGTACAGTATCTCCTTGATTCACACCAGGAGAATCAAGGTCAGTAATTTTCAAATTAGAGTACATTCAAATACCTCCCTTTAAGCCATCCAAAAAACCTTCCTTGTAAAATCTCAGGTTGGGAAAATAGAAATCTTTTGCCACAACAGAATTTACCAATCAAAACATTCCTAACTGAACCAAGAAGACACACGAAGTATAACATAGGAACTGTAAAAAGTATATAGCATCCTTGGGGGAAAGAGTTTTTGAAATCTCCCCTTACGTCCCCTCCCACCCTTCAAACTATTTCATTTTGTGGTGTGTCTCTATTTTATTTAAGGCCCTAGGTGCTGATTTTGGCTTGGTCATTGTTTTATATTGATCCAACTGCAATCTTTCTCTTAATACTTTACAAAGCAATATCCATACATAAGATGTTAATTGAAACCTTACAGGTTTTTTTAAGTTTATATCTGATGTTGCTACATCATTATAATGCTCTTCATAAAGGAAAAAAAAGCTGCAGGTCTTCACTTACAGTACCATGCACTATGAGTAGCTAAGGCATTCATTTGGCACTAGAGAGAAAATTACAAATACAGCTAATTTTACTTTCATTATCATTTTTAACATCAATAGAAATAGGTGTGTACCCTTTACTTGAATTTCTGTGCTTAAAAGATAATCACAGAATACTCTTTTAGTTTGACAGTTTAAATGTTGCTGTTAAAACACAAAAAATCATCATAAAGACCTCTGTACAGTCTGCTGGAATAAGTGACATCTTGTGGTTGAAAAATTTGCAGCTGTCAGACAGAAATACCTTTCAAGTGGCATTGAGAATTATTTTCATCATCAAAAACACTTAATGTCCTATACCACACTAATGAATTTTCTACTTATCACAGACTAAGTAAATAAAGTGAAAAAATTCAAAAATATCCTGGTTCCTTTTCATCTGTCATAAACACCTTATAAGGAGGGCACAAATAATGTCCACTGGAAAAACAGTTTCCAAATTTTAAAAGATACAACACAGGAAGAAAGGGAGAAGAGGACAAAAATAGAATGTATAAGTATATTGTGACAATTTGTTTCATAAGAAAACACATCATTCATAATTTTTACATGTCTGTGAGCTGAATCAAATGCAGACTGCTGCAATTTAGACAAATTACATTAAGAGACACTTCGAAGCATTCAAGCCTAAAGGCAAAAGTCCATCAATATTCTCTGAAAAGTTGGTTTAAGATTATCACTTTATATATACTACCCAGCATAATGCAACAATTCAATGGATTTAACTTCATAAATTTGTAACTATTATTAAATTAGCACATTTTTCAGATTAATCTGCAGCTATAATTTTTAAATCCTCCTGATGTTAAAATGTGTTATATCTCTCTACGTAAATAATGGAAGAGTGAAAACTATCTACAGCAGTTTGACATGTGCAGTACACCTGGATATCCCATTACTTTTAATGCTCTTTTTTGCTTCTTTTTCTTAATGAAATCTTCAAAACTGCTGCATGGATAACACGTGACATAGGCTTAACAGAAATACTTTTGTAGGCAGCTGTTTTAAAACATTATCAACTTGAAATCATAAATGTCCCTTGTTACACAAACAAAATATTTTATATTCATTCCTTAAAAAAAAAAAAAAAGAAAGAAAAGCAAATAGGTAAGTGACCAATATCCAAACACCTTAGATTACAGTTACACCTAAACAACGTGGCTTTGTTCAAAGTGTGTTTGAAATCAATTACCACATGAGGCAAGAAGACTAGATACAGAACCAAGAAAGAATGGGTTGGAAAGAAGCATAATGGAAAGAAAAGTAGAATTTATGAACACATAATTCTATTGTCTGTAATTAAAGTCCTTTACTTTTTAGCACCACATTAAACAATTTTACATATCCAGTCACTTAATGAAATCCAACAAACTCTTCAAGAGTTCTGGGGATCTGGTCTTGATAGTTAATGTCATTAGCCCGAACTGCTCGGGCAGCCAGGCACTTGAGACTCATCTTCATTTGAGTTTTAAGTAGTATTTCAGATACCCCAGTTGTACTTTTGTCTAGTGGAGTCTTATTTTGTTTATTTGTCATGTCAGTGTGAGCGCCAGCTTCAACTAGGCTAATGATGATAGAGTGCAAGGTCAAAAAATCACTGATGGGCCTGTTGTACTGAACAATAATGTGAAGGGCACTGTTTCCCTCATTGTCCACAGCATTCACCTCAGCACCACAGTCCAGCAGGAGCTTTGTGACAAGTGCATTTGGAAAGCTGCAGACATCATTGGTGTGGAAATCATCAACTGGGGTATTCGAATTGACTGCTAGATGCAGCAAGGTGAAACCTTCACGAGTTCTGGGATCAAGGTGAATCAGGTTGTAGATCTGCTTGTTAATTTTGCACTGATCTTCTTCACTACACTGTGTTTTGGTAGAGATACACACTAAATACAGAAAGGTATAGAGATTACATTCATAATTGTCCATAGCATTGTGGACATCACCATCTGAAATATTTTTTACTCTGTTCATACTTTGTTCTATTTCCAAAACACTGCATCTCAAAACACATTCTATGTCTGGGGCTTTCACAGTTTCATTCAAATGTATCATCTGTGAGAAAACTTGAGCAAATCTAAGAAGATCCTTGTGGGTGTTCCTGTTACCTTTCTGCCTGAGGTGCAGGGCGTGAAGCCACAATTTGATACACTGTTCAAATTCCATGTTATCCGCATAAACAGCCCCCCTGTAAATGATGGGATGGGAAACATCAATATTGTCAGCACCTAAAATCCGTTCCCGAACTATAAGGCCTTCCATGTGAAGAGCATCTCTGTCTTGCCGAATGGATTCCAATTCCTGAGGATTTCTACATTCAGTTCTATTCCCATAAGCATGGATTGGTGGGAGAACCTCTTTTTCAAGAATATTATCACCATCTTGAAACCTCTCCAACATGGCTAAATACAAATAGTGGTATGTCCTCATGATGTCATAGTTCTCACGGTCATTTGCAAAGGAGGCACCCAAGAGTTCCAAAGCTTCAATCCGACTCCTTCGGTCACAATCAGCATGAGAGAGTAACAGTTCAACAACATCAGCTTTACAGCTTTCGGCAGCAACTTTCAATGGTGTCATTCCATGGCCATTCACTACTATAGCAGCACGCCATTTTATCAGCTCTTTCACAATATCTATGTGCCCAGCTTCAGCTGCAAAGTGCAATGCTGTGGCTCCACAATGTGCTTTAGCATTAGGATCTGCACGTTGTTCTAAAAGATATCTGACCACATCAGTGTGTCCCTTGTATGCTGCAATCATTAGGCAGGTGTTGTCATACTTGTTGGCAATGCTGATGTTGGCATTATTTTCAACCAAGTATTTCACAATGTCCAGTCTGCCATCAAAGCATGCTGCCCGCAAGGGGGTGGAGTTAGTTACTGTGGTATGGTTCACGTTGGCTCCATGGCTGACTAGAAGTTTAACCACTTCAAAATGTCCAGCTCCTGCAGCACACCAAAGAGCAGTGGCACCATCAATGACATACCTACACGTGAAAAGAATAAACAGTTAGATAATGGAGGCCACGTGCCCTAACATAAGTTTAAGGGATGTATTCATCTGCACTAACCAAGATCTCACTCTCCAGAACGTTAATAAAGCATCAATTCTGGTGAAAATATAAACAGGTAATTTCAGTAAAGCACTTTGCGTAGTACTTGCACCTAGTATAAGTTCTGTATTACTAGAGTATATAAACCTAAAAAAAAAAAAAACAACAACCTAAGGAATTATCAACTTTCTATTAGCAAAAGTAAATAAATTTCAGAAAACAAAAAGGAAATATAAGGAGGTTTGTAACTTCTATACCACCAAGTTGAAGCACTGGCTGTTAAGAGCACAGCAAGTTCCTCCTTCCCAGTAACCAACCTCTGGGCAGTACAGTTTCTCTCAATTATGAAAGCCATCCCAATCCCTACATTAACATTGTGTTAGAAATTGCTTTAGGAAGAAAAAATTAAAGCAGATAATTTCCCCTAAGATTATCTAAGCTAATCAAATATCATACTCTACTACAGCAATGAGAATGAAACAATTAAGCCTCCATACAACAATTTGGATAGATCACATAAACATGATGTTGAGAAAATAAGTCAAGTGAACATAGCACATATTGCATGATTATATTTACGTACCTAGCTGTGGTGTTGAAAGTGAAGATACTGGTTACCTTTGTGGGGAGGCAGTGAATGCGAGGAAGTACAAAGGAACTTAATTAAACAAATATGTTCACTTTGTAAAATTTTTATATACTTATTTAGTGCATTTTTTCCACATATGCTAACCCCAATTTAAAAGTTTTAAAAATATATATGAGGGTACTTCAAAAAGTTCATGGAGAAGGCCGGCCCGTGGCTCACTCGGTAGAGTGCGGTGCTGATAACACCAAGGCCACGGGTTCGGATCCTATATAGGGATGGCCGGTTTGCTCACTGGCTGAGCGTGGTGCTGACAATACCAAGCCAAGGGTTGAGAACCCCTTACCGGTCATCTCTATAAAAAAAAAAAAAAAAAGTTCATGGAGAGATTTGTGTTATCTTTCAATCCTATTTTTCCATGAACTTTTTGACATGCCCTCATATGTATGTGTGTGTATATATAGTGTGTCTATGTATCTTCCTCAACCAAACCATTATGGGGAAAAAAAAAAAATAGTAACAGCAGGTATCTATTAGTACTTTCTGAAAACCAGGCACGTATCTTCCCTGATGTGACTGGTCTTTGTGACTTCATATTCACCACCTACTGGAACATCTGATATGTACTAAGTTCACTATTCAACATATAAAATTAGGCTCTTCCTAGGAGTCCAATCTTTCTCACCTTTCCATTTTCAATTTTTCCCCAACCTCAATTTCCCAAATTTTTATCCTATTACCTGGCCATATTATCAGGACCATAAGACAAAAAAGTAGATTTTTGTTGGACTTATTTAGATAGACTATGCTAGAACCATTAAGTATACTTGGAAGTGTTAAAGAAAAAGGTTGATCAAAGCAATATTCACTACAACAATTAAGTGTACTACATACCAAAAACCTCATGAATGAGCTTCTCGCTTTACAACCTTATAACACAGGTCAAATTATATCTCTTGTGAAGCAAAAACTACAAAATACTCCTGAGATAATTAAAAGAAAATCTAAATAAATATGAAAATATTCCATGTTCATGGTTTAGAAGACTGAATAGTGTTAAGATGTCAATTCTCCCCCCAAATGATCCATAGATTTGATGTAATCTAAATCAAAATCCCAGCAAGATATGTATGTGAGCCCACGCAAATGTATACAGAAACTGACAGGACAATTCTAAAAAGTACCTATACAGTGCTGGAGCAATTAGATAATCTGTGTGGAAAAAAATTAACCTTGTCTCCTACCTCACACTATGTACAAAAATTGGGGAAGTAGTACAGACCTATGATATGAAAAACAAAATAAAAGATTCAAAAAAAAAAAAATAGACTATCTTAATGACCTTGGGGTCGATCACAATTTCTTAAACAGAATGCAAAAAAGCACTAATTATAAAAGAAAAAAAATTACTGAACTTCATTAAAATAACTTCTATTCATCAAAAAACATTATAAAGAAAGTGAATAAGCAATCACCCACTGGGAGAAGACTTTTGTAATAGATATATGTGACAGATCAGTAAGAAGAAGGCAAACAACCCAATTAAAAAATGGGTTAAAGGACTGAAAAAGTATATTTCACAAAAGACATCCAAATGACCAATAAGTATATGAAAAGATGTTCAAGATAATAACTCACCACAGAAATGCAAGTTACAACCAGTAGGTACCAATACTCACCAACCAGAACAGCTAAAATTAACAAGACTGACAGGACAATACTAAGTGCTGGCCAGAATGTGCAGCAACTGAATCTCTCGTTGCTATTGTAAACTGCTGGTAGGAATGTAATTTGGTCCAACCACTTTAGGAAAACTGTTTGGGAATATCGATTAGTTAAACATTTACCTACCCTATGACCCAGCAATTCCACTCCTTGATATATACCAAAAAGAAATGAATGGAAATGTCCACCAGGACATATGCAAGAATGTTCATAGCAGCTTTACTCACAATACTGGAAACAACCAAAATACCCATTAACAAGAAAATGGATAAATAACCTACAATACATTCACACAATGGAATACTACACAGCATTTAAAAACGAAGAAATTACTGATACCTGCAACTACATGGATGAATCTCATAGATAATGTGTTAAGCGAAAAAAGCCAGCCAAAGTATACTGTATGATTCTGTTTATAGGAAGTTCAAGTACTAATCTATGGTGATAGAAGTCAGAATAATCATTACTTCTGGTACAGGAAAGGGGGGAATTGACTGAAAAATGGCACAGGGAAACTTTTAGAGTGCTAAAAATGTTCTACATATTGATTCAGAAAGTTATTACATGAATACAAAGATAATAAAAATTCATCATATTGTACACTTAAGATTCATGTGCTTTACTAGATATGTTATACCTTAACTAAAAATAGATATAACTAAAAACAAAAATAGAAGCACAACTGACTTTAAATAAAAAGTTCAAATGAACACAAATAATGTATAAAATACTTTCAGTGTGCCAAGCACTGTATTAACTGCTTAATATGCAATATACCTCATTTAATCCTCACAATAACCTCCTACCAATAACCCTATGAGGTAGATACTATTATTATGCCCATTTTTCAGATATATAATCAAAAGGTTTACATGAGATTAAAAATACAAAAGTACTCTGAATTCTATAAAATGTCTAATGCAAACATCGTTCAAACATTTGTTTCATTTTAACAGACAAGTAGCATTACATCAAACTAAAGAGCTTCTGCATAGCAAGTAGAATGAAGAGAAAACTTACAGAGTGAGGGAAAATATTTGTAAACTGTACATCTGAGAGGGGGTTAATATCCAAAATACATAAGAAACTCAAACTGAATAGCAAGAAAACAAAATAACCCAATTAAAACATGGGCAAAAGACCTAAAGAGACATTTCTCAAAAGAAGATATACAAATGGCCAACGGGGATATGAAAAATGCCCAACATAACTCTTCCTCACAGAAACACAAATCAAAACCACAATGAGGTATCACCTCACTCCTGTTAGAATGGCTATTATCAAAAAGACAAAAGATGACAAGTGTTGGCAAGGATGTGAAGAAAAGGGAACCCTTGCACACTATTGGTGGGAATGTAAATTAGTACAGCCATTATGGAAAACAGAATGGAGGTTCCTCAAAAAATTAAAAAGAGCACTACCATATGATCCAGCCATCCCACTGTGGGGTATACAAGGATACTTAAAAAATTTCATGGAAAAAGAGAATTAAAAGATAACACTAATCTTTCCATGAACTTTTAAAATTACCCTCATATATCCAAAGGAAATGAGATCAGTATATCAAAAAGATATCTACCCTCCCATGTTTTACTATAGCACTATTCCCAATAACCAAGATATAAAATCAACCTAAGCATCCATCAACAGTTGAATGGATAAAGAAAATGTGGTACTGCCCTCTGTACCTGCAGGTTCTGCACTCACAGATTCAACCAACCACAGATTTAAATTTTTCAAAAAAATAAAAAAATAAAAAATAACAATACAATAAAAATACTAATAAAAATACAGTATAACAACTATTTACATAGTATTTTCATTGTATTAGGTATTATAAGTAATCTAGAGATGATTTAAAGTATACAGGAGGGGCCGGCCCAGTGGCACACTGTTACAGTGCGCCGCTTGGGAGCGCAGCGGCGCTCCCGCCGAGGGTTCGGATCCCACATACAGACTGGTTCCCGCTCACTGGCTGAGCGAGGTGCAGGCGCAGCACCGAGGGTTGCGATCCCGTTGCCGGTCCCAGTCCAGTACGGGCGCGACACTGAGGGTTGCGATCCGTTGCTGGACACGAAAAAAGACAAAAAGGAAAAAAAAAAAATAAAGTATACAGGAGGATGTGCATAGGTTATATGCAAATACTATGCCATGTTATATAAGGAACTTGAGCATCTGGGGATTTTGGCATGAGGGGGGAGGTCCTGGAACCAATCTCCAGTGGATACCAAGGAATGACTGTATACATACACAATGGAATACTATTTAGCCATTAAAAAGAAGGAAATCTTGTTATTTACAACAACATGGATGAATGCAGAGGACATTATGCTAAATGAAATAAGCCAGGCACAGAAAGACAAATATTACATAATCTCACTTATATGTGGAATCTAAAAAAGTTGATCTTGCAGAAGTAGAAAGTAGAATGCTAGTTACCAGAAGCTGGGGTGGTTAGAGGGTTGGGGAAAGAGATGTTGATGAATGAATACATATTTTCAGTTAGATAGAAGGAATGGGTTTCAGGGCTACTGTACAGCATGGTGACTACGGTTAATAATGATATATTGTATTCTTGAAAAATGCTAAGAGAATTGATGTTTAAGTGTTCTCAAAAATAACTATATCAAAAATAACTATATGAAATGCATTTGTTAATTAGCTAGATATAACATTTCCATGGGTATATATATTTCAAAACACCATGTTGTACACAATAAATACATACAATTTTGTATGTTAATTAAAAAAAGTAAATTAGATGAAAACAAAGAGCATTTTTTCAAATTGATTATTAATATCATCTATCAAAAAACTAATACATCAATTTAACATGTAACATAGTTACATTTACAGTTAGTTATAATGTTTCCTTACACTGGTTTTTAAAATATAAAATTATTATATGACAGGAACATGAATTTAAACTATCTAAAGTTCAAGAAATGTTACATTAAAACAGACACTCACATACATTATCTTTAACTCTAGCAATAACCCTGCAAGACAAGTATTAGCCTCATTTCAAAGACGAAAAGAGACAAAAAGTGATTAAAATATTTTTCTGACCTCAAACTTGCCAGAATCTATGATATAAAAGTAAAAATTAAGCTACAAGTATGTATTTCAATTGGTTTTAATAATGAAACTACTTGATCAGTTTCATATTTTTCCTAGTATAGTCTAATTTCCTTTTTTCCCCCCTTGAGTTATATAATATTGTTGACAGGAGCCTCAAAAAAGTTCCTATTTTTATTGAGGCAATTAAAAATTTTAAGATATTTTATGACAAAAAAACTCATTGCAGAATGTTTTATAAAATGACTGGTCCTTCAGAAATATTAGCATTGATGAATTCAGAATTTCTAAATCTAAACAGAAATATTAAACAGATTAAAGGAATTATAATCCTAACACCTATGATATTACCCTGTCTATAAAATCTGGCTACAACTATCACTATACTTCCTCAAAACAAAATACTGAATGCATTTAACAGAAAATAAAGATATAATAAAATTAATGCAACATTGACTAAGTTCCTATGGGAGGAAGCACTACAAAACAATGATTTTTCTAGACTCACTCCAAAATTTCAATGCAAATCCTCTATTATGTATTTCATCTTAAAATCAAAAAACTATAATCTGATATTCACCTTTTCAAACAAAAAGTATGCCATCAGACGACGGAAACTTTTCACAGTAAGAGATAACATTTCTGATCATAAGGCTAAGATCATATCTATTTCCTGTTCAATTTGAAATAGAAATGCATTTGAAATGGAAATAGAAATTCATTAAATGTAAATGATGAGCACTTTATTTTAACCAAAGTCCTTAAAATCATTTATCAGATCAAATGGAGTGCCTTGAAATACATATTGCCAATGACTTTCTAAACGAAGTCAAATGATGGCCCCTCATACCTTTCCTCTACCTGGACATTTAAGTACTAGCACTAACTTTAAAAGTAAGAGCACTCAACAAAAAGCCTCAGAATTCTCAGAGGTCCTATTCTTCTCCCCATCCATGTCAGCAAACTTCTTCAATAACAGGTGGTCCCCACAAACTCTGGCACAGAGCAGTAAGGCCCTCAGAACTCAGGCTAGCACAATATTCCATGGTCACCTCCCCTTTGTTCTGTTCCATTTCTTTACCATTCTTAAGAGCTCCCCATTCTCCAACTAAAGGCTCTTCTTTCATTCCCATTCATGTGGCTTTCTTATCCACTCATCTATAACAATTTTTGTGTTCACATCACATTAAGCCATAAGTAAAACAACCTCAAATGTTACTCCTAAAAATGGGAACGAGGACTCAAATATCAATGTGGGGTTTAATCTAGGTGGGTGGTCTCTTCTCTCTTGAGGCTCTATTATGAATCCACTTTAAGTGGATTCATTTTCCTAAGTTTTTAGGTGAGAGACAGACTTTTTTTTTAGTACTTATTTTATTGTCTCTCTCTCTCTGTCTCTCACATACATGAAACATAACATATCAAACCTATAATTACACGGATACTGTTGCATAGGATGAAGCTAAGAAGTGAGACATTCTAAAGATGAATATCAAGTAAAGAACAGACACTTTAAAGAAAAATATTAAGTAAACAGCAGGATAGATGGTGAACCCTTTGGCCAAAAATCATAAAGATGGTATGCGAATGACTAAAAATTGGAAACACTAATCTACTTCAGCACAAACACAGAACCTGTTAGTCCCCACCTCGCCATGTCTCAAGTGCCAATGAAATCCAGGAAGGGGATTTGGCTAAGAACGTTTCAAGACCCAGCCCCCCAAGGGGTGAGTGAGCTTCATAATGTTAACACCACTCAGGCTAACACTTTCACAATGTCTGAAAATGAGTGCAAAGTGAAATCACATTTGCAAATAATGCTCTCTTTTTCTGATTCTGAAATGCAAAAATGACTGGGATAAACTACAAAATGATCTCACAGAGTGGTGTGAGTAGGCAGAGGGGTGGCTATGAACTTCAATTCTTCTCTTTTATTAATTAATTGCTAAGCTCCTCAAAAGTAGAAACCTTACATTTCCTCTGTATCCTCCACAGAACGTGACACAGGGCTAGGCCCATCACAGGAATTTAATAAATAAAATAAATAATAAACCGCTTTGCATAGCAGCTAATAAATTCAAAATTGTAATATTCCATGAGCTAAACAGATATATACATTCAAGAAGGCTTAGATAAAATCGCAAATGATAGAAGCATTTGAGATTGCAGTTTCACCAGTTTTACTTTTGGTATCTGATACAAGGATCATCAAAATCTGGTCTCCACACTTCTCTCCACTCTCCCACAATCTCTTAATTACTCCAGCTTGAATCTCTTCTTGCAATGGCACTCAAACACTTGCCATTGCAAGTGCACCATGCTTTTTCACGTCCTACTATTCTTTAAAACCCAGCTCAGGGCTGGCCGGTTAGCTCAGCTGGTTAGAGCACAGTGTTATAACACCAAGGTCAGGAGTTCGGATCCCTGAACTGGCCAGCACCAAAATAAATAAATAAATAAAACCCAGCTCAAACATCTCCTCCTTGGTTCAACCTTCCCTGATTTCCCCCAGGCAAAGCTGAGCACTTCCTCTCACTCTGTTCTCCCTCAGGAGTCCAAAAGATTTCTATAACCCTAAATGGCGTAGTATCTGCAATTACTTTTATTTATATATCTATCTATTTCTCTCTCTCTCCCCCTAGACTGTCCCCTGATTTCCCCCAGGCAAAGCTGAGCACTTCCTCTCACTCTGTTCTCCCTCAGGAGTCCAAAAGATTTCTATAACCCTAAATGGCGTGGTATCTGCAATTACTTTTATTTATATATCTATCTATTTCTCTCTCTCTCCCCCTAGACTGTCAAACTCCACAGTGGGTTATTTGCAGAATACTGGACAAGGTAAGCCACTATATAGGCTCAATGCTACATTTCCAGTCATTTCAGATTCTTCTAACTGCCACCTAAAAATATCTTTCTCTTTGATAGTTGAGGAAGATAGCAACAAGCAAAGCCTTTCTAAATTCTTTAAAAAACTACTTGTATTTTCTCTCCCCACCATTCTCCCTTATCCACATAGGCCTCAGCAAGCTCCTTAGCAGCAGTGTTCCCACAGCTTTTATTGCAGAGATTCTTATCTCAATGGATGCCCGTGCCTATACAGCTGGAATGGCGCTGGAGGTTCAGGGGTCATTCTGCTTCACTCCTCCTCTAGGTGCAGGAAAGGCTGTGGAAATGCAGAGAGTTACAGAGAAGACATACAAGCCGATAAGGGAAAGCAAACATGAATCAGGTTGCCATCTTTGGTCAACATGAAAATAACCATCTCCTTAATGTCTAAGGCGGTAGTACCAGAAATAAGCCACTACCCATGGGCTATCATTTCATTAAAATGTAATGCTCTTAGATATTTTCCTCTCATACAAAACAGAATAAAGAGCTTTTATTATTTAAGCTAAAAAAGAATCAATCAAAATTCAACATTTCCATAGTCATCTGAAAGAAGAAATGCTTTTTCAATCAGGTTTTGGCCAAGCAGTTTTTAATCACCAAAACTAAAAATATATATTTTTATGCTTAGACCCAATTTACTGCAAAAGAAAATGCTAAAATAGCTTATGTACTGGTTAAAAGTCAACAAAAACAAATGCAATCAATGAAGCAAAATCTTTATGCAGCTGTATTCTGTACATTTTATAATCTTCCAGCACAGAAAAAAGGATAACGACAAACCTGACAATTCTGTTTTCATTATCATGCCCAAAAATATGTACAGTTAAACTCAAAAGGTAAATTTTAACTATGACCATATGAATTTTTGAACTCCCCACCTCGAATAACAGTAATGATCAAGCTTCCCCACAATACCACAGGTAAGATGTAATTTGACAATAGCATCATCTACACCAAGTCCAGTGCCATTTTCGTAGCCAACATATCCACCCCGAGCAATGTGGAAGAGTCAAAATCATGTCTTGAGATGTCTGGCTGTGTGACAATCCCTCGAGAGGCTGCAGCTGCTGCTGGTTCTAGGGGGTTGTTTTGATAATAAGGCCCCAGCAACCTGCTGAGGGCTTTATCTGACCACTCGCTTGAAGGAGAGGGAGCTGGGTGGCCAAATAACTCATCAGAGATCTTCAATGTTAATTGCTGACCTCGTTAATTTCTGATCTCGGTTACAGCGCCAGGACTAATAAAGATAAACCTGGAAAGGCAGCCACCTCCTTCACACTGCTTGTTCAGACTATCTAGTAGAGAAGACTATTAGATCTCAAGACCAAGGGTGAGACTATCGAGGAAATAAGGGGTGGGGGCCAAAAAGGATGGGCAGCAAAACATGGGATGGAGTATTAGTGAGGGACGAAAGGACCCGTGAATTGGTGGGTCCGCGCGCGAGTCGGAGAGGAGGCTGGAGTTGGAATGTACCTACCCGTCGAAGCGGACGGTGCCAGTCTGCTGAGTCTGCACCCGGTAATGTTCTAACAGCAAGCGCACCACCTTGGCGTGCCCATTGCGGGCTGCGATGATGAGGGGCGTGGAGCGCTGACCTCCCTGCTGGCTGACATAGCCAAGTAGATAGCGGATGTCGCTTTCAGACCGGTTGAGAAGCAAGGCGGCCAGAGTCAGTACCTTGCCCTCACTGGCCGCCTTGTACACATAGCCAGCCAGGCCTTCCATGGCCGCCGCCAACTCCAGCACCCGTTTGGTCGCCACCGCTGCTGCTGCCTTGCGCCCCCGGAGGCCGCGTTCGCCAGCGCTTCAAACCTGGGCCCCCACAGCCCATTCAACAGGGCGCCGCCGCCGCGCCCAGGCAGCAGCGCGGCCCAGGGAGGGCGGGGACGCAGATGTGCCCGACTGCCGCGGGGGCACGTCCGCGACCCAGCCTGGGCAGGGAGGAGGGCGCTCAGGGCCGCCCCCAAGGCCCTAGGCGCCCGCCCTGGGCCGAGGGGATCTCCATGGCGGTCGCCACCCCGGGCCTCGGGCCGGACCCCTCCTTCCTGCAGGCTGCGACAGGCGCGTGCCCGAGCTACGGGTCGCCGGCGGAGTCCCGAGAGGGCCGCGCGCGCCTCAAATGGCCGAGGATGGGCGCGTCTCACCCAACCCGGCAGCCACGGCCTAAGGCCTCAAGTGCCTTCGCCTCTGCTCTCCGCCGTCCCTGGCTGGAGGAAACCCGCAGGCCCTCGCACACTGGAGCTCAGAAGTGCCGGGAGCCGTCGATGGCTGCGGAGCGACGCGGAACGCTCCCGCAGGAGCAGCGCCGGAACTTGAGGCGGGCAGGAAGGCTAGCCTCCGCAGACGGGGACGGGCGGGGGAGGGCGGGAGCGGGAGGGACGTTCAGTGGGTGTCTCCTCCAAAGCCGACCGGCGGGCAAACGAGGCCGTGGTGAAGGAAGGTTCTGCTGCGCGGAGTTGGCCCATCCCCAACTCAGGCCCGCACGTCCTCAGTGCCCTTGACGCCTGGAGCCTCTTCGTCCCCACACGGCCCTGGGGGTCCCTAGTCAGGGAGAGGGGGCGAAGTGAGGGCGCTGAACTGGGGAGTTAGGGGGTCCACTCCATTTGACCACAGACGGTGCGGACCCCTCTGGAGGTCCAGGGGGAGCGTTGCGCGCACCCAGAGGGTCCATTTTAGGAAACGAGCTGCGGTTCTGGGCCAGCGAAATATGGGGGCGGGAGAGCCACAGCAGCGGGCCCTGAGAAGGGCCTGGAAGTCCGGTCTGCCCTCCCTGGAGAGGGGGTTAAGTGTGTGAAGAAGATGGGGAGCGAAGGGGAACTGCTCCTGGGGTGGAAAGGGCCGAGCATCCTGGGAAGGAAGGCTAGTTCCATGTTGAAACAGAGCAGGACTAATCCTGAGCAGGCAGAATCTCCGTTTTCTTACATACCTGATAATGTCGTTGTTAGGATTGAAAAGACCATTTATCCGAGAGTACTGGTCTTCTCTGTGCCAGGCTTTGCTTCGCACTAGGGATTCAGTGATAGACCAGTCCCCTCTCACCATGGGCTGTGTTATTGTGGGGGAAGCAGACAATACACAAGTAAACAAATGATAGACAAGACCCGTTGGGTTAGTATCATTACCTTTTGCTATGAAGCAAATGAAATAGAATGAGGAGGGGCGGGGAGACTCATTTAGCTTAGATGGTCAGACAAGACCTCTATGACAGGTGACAAGAACAGACGGAACAGCTAGTACAAAAACCCTTAGGAGGGAACAGTCTGGTGAGCTCAGCACAGAAAGGTCAGTGTGACTGCAGCAGAGTGGGCCATAGGAAGAATGATAGGAGATGAAGCAGGCAGGATGCAAGTCATGTTAGGGCCCAATAACCCATGGCAAAGCGTTTAAAGTCTGCTCTGTGACGGTGGCATTTGAAGAGTTTTAAACAGGGAAGTGACAAGATCCTATTTATGTTTTTTGAGAAGATCACTCTTTTCAGAAAAACTGCTGTGTGGAGAATAAGCTCTAGGAGACAAGAGGAGAGGCAGGGAAGCCAGCTAGGAGGAGAGGTCTTGGATTAGGGTGGTAGGAGTGGACGTGATGAAGCTCCTCGGGCAGTCCCGAAAAGTACAAGGTCAATATAGAAGTTATTTCCGGGCCGGCCCGTGGCTCACTCGGGAGACTGCGGTGCTGACAACACCAAGTCAAGGGTTAAGATCCCCTTACTGGTCATCTTTTAAGAAAAAAAAAAAAGTTACTTCCTCTCCCTTCCCCCCACACCCAAAGGACGATATCTACCATACAGACAGAACAAATGCATTTATTTGGCTCCAAGGGACAGGATTGAGCTACACAAGTTCAAATAAAGTATTTTATTTGAATCCCACCATTCCAATCCTAGGAGGGGAAGACCTCGCCTCGGTTGCAGAGCTATTGGTGGGGAGTTGGATCGCTTCTCAAATTCTCTCTTCCATTCTGCAGCACAACTTTACGTATTTGCAGATTCCTACACAGACATTAGGGGTTTCCCCTTACCATATTAAAAACAGCATTGGCTATAAGAGCTAAAGGTGAGATTCTCCTGGTAGTCTCTCTCAAGTAGCTGGTGGAACTGAGGAGGAAACCAGCTTGTTTCATTCTGGGGCTTCAGGGCTGTAACAAAAGTCCAGCTTTTGACAGGCTGACCCAGGCTTTTTGCCTCTGGGTTCCTGGCAGTGACACATCCAGATGTATGAGCAGAGCTCTCTTCTGACTTTCTTCTCTGGCTCTGTAGAGGAACCAGGCTTCTCTCTGCCACCTCTCTCTCCTCTCAGCCTCTGTCTCCTTCTCCTTCTCTCTCCACACTTTGATCACCTGGGCACAAGCTGACAGACGTGGAATAGTGCCTGCCTCCCTAGAAAAGACCCTCTCAAAACCTTTTGACCTATTATATCCCTGCATCATTCTTTTCCCACCTAACTTTTTGAAGAAGGCGATTTAAAAGCCCAGACAGGGATCTCTTCCAGTTTTGTTTTCTAAAGGACACCTGATTCATCCAGACATTCACTGCTAAATAAGAGACTTCTTTCTTCCTCCTCTTGCCCTTCCCACCTCAATTTTTTGGTGTAACTAGATGGGTGCTAGGAGGAGTGCCGGGACCAAGAGTTGTGCCAGAGACAAACTCAGAGCTTGCGTTGCATGGCCTCCACCCCCAGACAGGAATACACCTCTGCTCCAGCGGCGCAAGGTCAGGAGACTTAGGCTGCTTTTTTCTTCTATATTTATCACAGTTGCTTAGCATAGGCTTCTAGGTTCCCCTGGTTGCTCAATAGCCATTGGCCAACTGGAGACTATTTGGTTGCCTCTGTTTACCTGGGCTTGGAGAGTTATGTTTCTGTGGCCAGGCTGTGCAAATCTGGAAAGAGGATGTGTAAACAGGACAAGGCTGCTTTCCCAAAGGCCAAAATCCAGAAATAGTTCCTTGTGCTTCTGACCTGTTTCCCTCTCCTTGGACAGAAAGCCACTAAGCAAATGAACGTAGTAAAACATAACTACAAGTACTTGTAACCTATGGAGATTGATTTGCTGATGACAACAAATTGCAGCCTTCCACCTGGACCAAAGGCAGGACCACCTTTTCCAGCATTTTGCTTCCTAGGGATTGTGGTGGCCTATGAGCAGAATTGGCTGTACCTCCCATGGAGCATTCCTTTTTCCAAGCTAGGTTGGCCAAGCCTTACAACTGAGCCAATGGAGTTTCTCAGCTTTTGTATAAAGAACATGCAAGATGTCATTTTTTAAACTCCAGTAAAGACACTTGTTTTAGTCCTATAACCCTCCCGCATACTAAAAGGAAGAGGGTGACTCCTGGTATTGAACAGATCTGGGTTGGATTCCCATATCTATGAACTAGCAGTGGCATTGGGGAAGCTGCTCTCTGCAATTAGGAATGTGGCTGTAGGTGCCCAAAGTTTTCTGTGGTCCTGATCACTTCACCTGAGCCAAGGTGCCAATTAGCTTATCTAATTAGCGATCCTGTGCTAATGGGGGAGGATTAGATGAAACCTCCGTACCACCATCCCACACACACCCTGGACATTCCTCATTCCTACTCCAGGAACACAGGTCCAAATCCAAAGCAAATGCCATCTCATCCTGGAGATCTTCCTTGATTTGCCCTAAGCTCTATACCACTTTATACCTCTCTTGGGACCCTTACCTCTTTCTAATAATAACTCATGTCTGTGCCACACTTTATATTCTGCAAAGCACTTTCCCATTCACCTAATCCAGTTCCTTCCTCCGGTCCTCTTATCCACCTTTGATAACTGAGCACAGAGTGTGGTGGTTCAACACTCGAGCTCTGGAATCCCCTCTGCCAGCATCCTAACTCCACCACTTGCTGGCTGTGTGTGCTGGGCAAGTTGCTTAACTACTCAACATTCCAGTTTCCCTATCTGTGAAATGGGGATAATAGTGCCTCCCCCATCTGGTGAGAGGGTTGAATGAAATAAACACATGCATGCATACACAAACACAGCACTGCAACTCAGTAAATACTGGCTGTTACGTTATCTCCCTGAATCTTCCCCCAAAACCCCATGGGGATAAAGAAAGCAAGTCAGTTCTTGTCATCAGTAAAAATAAGTTTAAACCAGATGACCTCTAAGCTGTCTTCCTGCTCCACCAAGCTATGATTCTACCATGAATCACAGTTATTTATGGACACATCTTAGCTCATTATGCTGTAGTAATTTCCTAAAGGCCCATCCCATAACATAGGGCTTTGTATACAGTTGGCTATCCTGCCAGGTCAATGTCCCTGCCCCATCTAGGCCCTGGGGTGAACAGAAAAGAAAATTTCTATATAGATTTAGCACAGTACCTGGCACTGAGTAAGCCCCCAATAAATTGTAGTTTCTGTTGTTATCACATCTTATAACAATAAGGCTCCCAACACGGTCATTAAAAGCATAGACTCTGGAGCCACCCTGCCTGGGTCCATCCTAATGGTGACCCTCTGAGACCCTGAGCAAGTTAATTAACTACCCTGTGTCTCAGTTTCCTTATGTGTAAGATGGGCATGATGATAACTGCCTCATAAGGTTGTTGTGTAGATCAAGTGAGTTAATAGAAGAAAAGCACCCAGAACTGCACCTGGTTAGGTGTTTGTAAGTGTTTTTCATCATCATTTTCAGATGAGGAGACCCACACTCAGAAACATCAAGCGACATCCCCAAGCAGCTGGGATCCAAAGCGCAGTCTGACTGATGGAGCCTCGGTCCTGTATTAGGATATGTTGCTGCCTCATATGAGCCACGTACATTTTAAAAGGAGCCTTTGTGTCCACTCCTTTCAGTTGTCTTCCCTGGCAAAGGACTTTCTCCAATGGTGGAGATTTCAGGAGGGGAGGAGAGAGGCAGCACCCCAGACCTCGAGTGAGAGAGCCCACAGGATGCCCTCAAATCTACCACAGGAGAAGCAGCCTTTTTCTCACCTGTCTCCAGCCTATCACTTTAGCATTTCATCATGGCTGTGGCCCAGAAGCCCGGAAGCATGGGAACACCCACACCTGCCCTCTAGCCTGGAATCTGCAACGAAACCCTCATCACGCACTTTGATGTCACACTGAAAGCTGGGCCCAGCTCCTCCACTGAGACAGGCCCTGGCCTTGAGGCTTTTTCCATTTCTTAGGCATGATTCACCCAGGAGACAAGACCGGACAGACTCATACCAGAGGAAGGAGGGCTGAGTCGTGGATCCAGGAGAAGAAGAAAAACAAACAGGGGTCAGAGCTGAGCAGGACTCAAAGCTGCTAGGCTGCAGGGGGCAGGGAAGCAGGGCCACGCAGGGGGAGCCACCTGTTTGAGGAGCAGTGCGGACCCAGGTCACCCACTAACCAAAATCTCCTCC